TAGACACACAGGAAATACGGTCTAGACGAGACACTAGGATTGCCACGCTGTGATTCTGCAGTGTGATCTCAGCTCCAAACTGCCAACAACAAGAAAGACTCAGACAGATTGAGCTAAACCTGGACGAATACAATTACACCGAAGACTTCCAAAATACAGAACCCGACCTCCACACCACAAACACAAGCTCTGGTTTTAACACCCTGAAGTGTTGGATCTTTAGGCCTGATGTCAGTATCACACATCTCCTCCAGTCGCCTTCCTGTCAGCCACAATACAGGGAAGTTCAGGATTTCCTTTCTGAAATCATCAGAAATATGACTCCACTTCTTAGGATCGCAGAACCACCTGGATCTAAAACAGGCCTTGTACCACTCATATTATAGGATGTTTTGGACAATATGTGATTTCCTACATGACTTTATGAATAATACAGAGATTACTGGAGTTCGTTTTAATCATATGGAGCCACAGTGAAGTGACATGTGGCCAAGTATGGTTACCCATACTCAGAATTAGTGCTCTGCATTTATCCCATCCTAAGTGCACACACACAGCAGTGAACACACACCCAGAGCAGTGGGCAGCCATTTTTGCTGCGGCGCCCGGGGAGCAGTTGGGGGTTCGGTGCCTTGCTCAAGGGCACCTCAGTCACGGTATTGAAGGTGGGAGAGAGCGCTGTACATTGTGTACATTCACTCCCCCCACCTACAATTCCTGCCGGACCAGAGACTCGAACTCGCAACCTTTGGGTTACGAGTCCGACTCTCTAACCATTAAGCCACGACTTCCCCTTTTACAAACTATTATTATATACATTTCATGTTTAAATCAGTGTGTCACTTACTGTTTCTGTGTGATTCATTTTGAAATTTACAAGCTATTTTTTTGAGCAAAAATTGTTTCTGGGCCTTTTTTTCCCCCAGTTTATACCACAGTCTTAAAACACAACAAATCGGCTATTCGTGTTGCGAAAAATTGTGTTTGAACAATGCTGTTGTCGATATAAATATTACAATCTTATACACCATCCCAAAAAAAAAAAAAACTAAGATTGAGTATGTTTTAATTTTTACAATTTTGAATGTTAACATTTTTTAAATATTTAATTAAATACTCCCTTAAAAGATAAACATTCATTTTGATTACCTAATTGTATTTATAATTTGTTCAATATTTATATTACAAATCATCAGGAATATGACTCCACTTCTTAGGATCGCAGAACCACCTGGATCTAAAACAGGCCTTGTACCACTCATATTATAGGACGTTTTGGACAATATGTGATTTCCTACATGACTTTATGAATTTGTAAATAATACAGAGATTACAGTGACATGTGGCCAAGTATGGTTACCCATACTAGGAATTAGTGCTTTTACAAACTATTATTATATACATTTCATGTTTAAATCAGTGTGTCACTTACTGTTTCTGTGTGATTCATTTTGAAATTTACAAGCTATTTTTTTGAGCAAAAATTGTTTCTGGGCCTTTTTTCCCCCAGTTTATACCACAGTCTTAAAACACAACAAATCGGCTATTCGTGTTGCGAAAAATTGTGTTTGAACAATGCTGTTGTCGATATAAATATTACAATCTTATACACCATCCGAGAGCGCTGTACATTGTGTACATTCACTCCCCCCACCTACAATTCCTGCCGGACCAGAGACTCGAACTCGCAACCTTTGGGTTACGAGTCCGACTCTCTAACCATTAAGCCACGACTTCCCCTTTTACAAACTACTATTATATACATTTCATGTTTAAATCAGTGTGTCACTTACTGTTTCTTTGTGATTCATTTTGAAATGTACAAGCTATTTTTTTGAGCAAAAATTGTTTCTGGGCCTTTTTTTCCCCCAGTTTATACCACAGTCTTAAAACACAACAAATCGGCTATTCGTGTTGCGAAAAATTGTGTTTGAACAATGCTGTTGTCGATATAAATATTACAATCTTATACACCATCCCAAAAAAAAAAAAAACTAAGATTGAGTATGTTTTAATTTTTACAATTTTGAATGTTAACATTTTTTAAATATTTAATTAAATACTCCCTTAAAAGATAAACATTCATTTTGATTACCTAATTGTATTTATAATTTGTTCAATATTTATATTACATTTTAAAATATTTGTTTTTTAAATAAAATAATTGTATAAATTTTAATAATTTTTAACTATTTTTTATTTTCCCAATAATTGCTCAAATTTAAATTATTTTAGTTAATACTAAAATTACCTGAAAACAAAATGTGAGTATTGATTAATTTGATAATCTCTCTCTCTCTCTCTCTCTCTCTCTATATATATATATATAAACTTCAGTATTTTTACTGAATGTAAAAATATTGGACTCCATAATTGCACAATAATTTCACATAATTTATCATTTTTAATATTTAATTAAATATTTACTTAAAAGCTACATTTGATTTACGCAATTGTGTGTGTATATATATATATATATATACATTTTATTTATTTTTTATTTTTGTATTGAATTTCAAAATATGTGAGTACATTTTCACAACAACTGCTCACTAAAATTAACAGAAAACAAAACGTGAGTATCTCAATATTCAAGAAAATATTTTTTACAATTGCTCACTAAAATGAACTGAAAACAAAATGTAAGTATTTCAATATTTCGTAATGGACTAGGTGTAAATTGGGTGCAGTTATGGCTAAGTGTTTTAATTTTAAAAAAATCGGTTGATTAATCGGCCTTTCTTTAGTAAAAACAACTGTGTCACCTACTGTACCTACTTTGCATCACACAACTGTACAGTTTCTTTTTGACTATAATTTGACTGTATATATTTGCTCATGATATGTGATATGTGCATATCAGTACACCACCTTGACCATTCTGTCCGGGTTGCCTGATGCATTACCCATTAAGCTTGATCTTAGTACGTGCATATCTATGTTCTCTATTATATGCAGCTGCATTGCAATGAAAGCATCTTCCTGGCAAAAAGGAAACAGTGTCTTTTGCATTTTGAGATTTGCGCGTGCAACTGCTTAATGTTGCAATTCACCAGTAAGCTTACTTAATCTGTTCATGCATAATGCATAAACGCACAATTCAACGGGTAAAACATCTATATAAAACATCCAGTTATCATAATAAACGCTTGTTTAATATATAGAAACCGCGATGTTATTCCTTTGTGCTGTGGATAGATGTAATCAGCATGCATTTAACTGTCAAACGAGATTTAATGATATGCATTAAAAATTACCTTAACACAAGACGACAGCATATGCCAGTAGACGGTTCCGTTTCCACAAATGTTGCTGCCGACATTACCGAGTAAATGCACACGCGGAAACGTTTCTCTATTTGTTATACAACTGGATGCAGTGGCTTTTAATCGGGCCGCGCGAAGAGCCGTTTTCAGTTCCTCACACCTCTCGAGAGCGTTCACTGTTAGTGCACACTGACTTACAGCGCTGGCAGGGGGATCCGGCCAGCTCTTTGACAAATATCACACTTATTTAAAAGACTTCACGATATATATTTGTGATTTTGATTATTTTGATACATATTATTCTGTCAAAAGGGATGAAACAACATTTTAGATGTGAATATTAAGATTAAATGTGAAAAAGAGATAGTTGGACACCCCTCTTCCTCTCGGTTTTGGTACGTTCCACTGTCAGAGCTCAGTTTGGAAACCCTCGCATGAGTCTTATTTCAAAGAGTGCATAAGTATTAATGTTAATATTGATTTATACATTCGTTTTACTCATTTTATTAGACAAATCAATGAAAAATGTTGCAAGAATTTCGAATAAATAATTCAACAACTGTATAAAGGGGGTATTTAAAAGAGGGAATGGAACAGATTTTAAATAGACTACACGCTGTATTGTATTGGACAAAAATAACAAATTAAATCATATAAATATAAATCAATATGTAGTACACATAAACTGCACATTACCCATAAACAACGCTAAGTGTTCAGGCTTGTTGTTAGGACTTTAGATGCAGTGTACAGTATCATGGTTAAAAAATAAATAATGTGCCAGGGTATTTACTAGCCTAAGGAACTTCCATGCTATTTCTCAACACAAAAAAAAACTGATGTAAAAAAATATATATATAAAAAAAAGGCTACTTTTTAATAACAGTCATGATATTATATTTTGGGGTTAAAAATCGAATTTCAAATCTGACATGGGTTTTAAATCCATCAAAATGCATCCATTTCGAACTGACGGGCTGATGCTGTGATTCGACTGAAAATGATATGCATGTTTCACATCCCACGCTCCTTCAGCTAAAGATAAGAGACATTTTGGTTTCCGGCTCATTTGTACACAAACAAATTATGTAATTTACTACAGCAGAATATGCTGGAAACTGATCTGTAGCTGTGATGTGTTCTAGAATCACTAATGATTTCATAATGGTTGCCTAGTAACAGACAGGCTTTCTCTCGAAGCCCTTCCAGTGTTCTAAGTGTCATCTAGAGCCGCTTCCGGCGGAGCTGCTAGAACCTTCTAGACTCGTGTGTCTAGAGTTGCTGTCGTCTATAAAGTGTTAATGTGATGGAATTGTGTTTGAGGTGCAGATTCAGGTCGCACCTTGGAAATGAGACTAAAGTATAACTTTAGATCCTCTCCAGTAGATGGAGCTACAAACACACACACGAGCGCTTGGGCCAGAAGCTGGTGATGTTAATAATGTAGAGGCTAGTTTTTAAAATATGTGGGATATCTATGATATTCCATCACACATTTTAATCTGACAAAATACAATTATCAATGTAGCCTGTTTTAAAGTAAATTTACACAAATGACAATAATCTATCTATCTATCTATCTATCTATCTATCAATAGTTCGCGAGTAAGAACTGAACTTATTTGTGCATTCCAGGCCCCGCCCCCGCGTTTCGACCACGCCCCCCACGACAGACCTATGAGAATGTAGGCGGGGCGTGAGCGGTTGCGCCATGTTAACGCTGCACGTTGCAGCCGCAGCAGCCAGTAGCAGCAATACAGAGACATATGCGGGATTATAGAGCTAAACCCGGCCAGCAGCCACAGAGATGATTGCAATTGCGTCTGAGGCTTTTATTTAATGCACCGCACCCGAGAAGAAGCCAGGATTGCGTTCCTGTTTTGGAAATATTATTTATTACTGTGCCAGAGGCCCCTTGAATTGAATGTAATGTGAACATCTACAGCAATGTGGTTATTTTCCTGCAGATGAGCTGCTGTTTTGTCCTCTCCCCCCTCCTATTCTCCTTTCATCATAATTCAAGATCATCTTCAATTCACTGGACTCTCCTAGACCTGTATATGAAGGTAAGCATGCTTTATGGTTGTATTTCTGTATTGGGTTCACCATTCATTCATGCATGCATACATACATGCATGCCCTGTCTTCCTTTTTTATCCCATTGCATAGCAACCAAACCAGCCAATGCAAGCTTCCAGATCCCCGACATGATGCACAGACAGAGGCATAAAGCGTGCATTCACCTTGCACGCTGATTTTAGGGACAGGTTGCTTCGGACGCCATGCATATGCCTTTATGTAACCTCCAAGGTTTAATTTCTGCTGCATGTCAAGATAATCCATCCATATGATGCCCAAAATGCATGCAGTGTCTGTGATTTGTGCAGCCGGGCAACACGGATTGCATGCATAGTGTTTCGTTCTGTTCTGATACCTGGCAACCCTCTCAATGGCCTCTTTTCGAGATCCTTCAGCTGTCATGTGAGATGCATGAGAGCTTTTGTGTTTATTTAAGGTTTATGTCACATCTGTACATCTCAGCTGCTCCCCATTGTGCCTGCCACATCATTACATAACCTCCGCTCTCATCCTTTGCATGCAAATAATCTGCTTGCATACAGTTGGATCCAGAGAGGACCTTATATTAGTGCAATGTATCACCATAAGGTTTGTTCTAATTGTTTTCTGTGCACTACGCATCTCCCCTGGTTGAGTCGGTGACATCATCTCCTGTTCTGTCCCCCTGGTGTGTGAGCGTGTGTGTAAGTGCGCATTTTTCAACAGACTGTAATGGCAGATCTGGATGTGTGGTTTCGTGCACAAAGCCCTTTTTCATGAGAAAATTGACGTGTTGTGCAACTGTGATTTTTATTGCAGTAGGGTTGGATGTTTCTATGAAGCTGGCTTTGGTTCAGGTGGAATAGGTAACTTGGATGGATGATGCGTCGCGTGAATGAATGAAAGAATGAATGAATGACAGCCTGTTGGGCTTTTAGCATCTTTGTCTTCTCATCGTCTAGCTCAGGGGTTCATGACTGGTTTTTCTTCTGGACTGAGATTTTAGGTATGCATGCAATTGTAAAAAATACTTGTAGTTTTATAGGTAAGTGTGCAATTTTACTTGTAAAATGTTACTTGTAATGTCCAACAGTATCTTGTAAGGTACTGTTTTAGGCTTCCACTTGACATCTAATGCAGATCTTGCATTCAACATTTACAGGACAAATTTTAAGTATGCATGCAATTGTAAAAAAAATAATAATAATTTTAGTATATATAAATATATATTTACTTGTAAAATTTTAAGAATGCATGCAATTTTGCTTGTCAGGTCCAAAATTATTTTACAAGTTCTGTTTTGGGCTGCCAATTGACATTCAATGCAAGACTTGCTTTGGACATTTACAAACAATATATTATGTATGCATAAAATATAAAACAAAAATTACTTGTAAGATTTTTGGAATGTGTGCAATTTTACTTGTAAAATTGTACTTATCAGGTCCAGAAGTATCTTGTAAGGTCTGCTTTGGGCTGCCAATTGATGTTCAATGCCAGATTTGCTTTCGACATTTACAAGCAAAATTTTCAGTATGCATAAAATGTCTTGTAGGATTTTAAGAATGCATCTAATTTTACTTGTAGAATTTTACTCGCAAGGTCCAGCAGTATCTTGTAAAGAACTATCTTGGGCTGCCACTTGACAATCTTTGCAAGATCTGCATTTGGCATTGACAAGGAAAATTTTAAGTATGCATGCAATTGTTAAAAAATTACTTGTAGGGTTTTAAAGAATGCATGTAGTTTTACTTGTAAAGTGTTTCTTGTAAGGTTCAACAGTGCCTTATAAGGTACTGTTTTGAGCTGCTGCTTGATGTTAAATGCAAGATCTGCATTGGATGTTTACAAGCAAAAATGTAAGTATGCATACAATTGTAAAAAAATTACTTGTAGGGTTTTAAAGAATGCATGTAGTTTTACTTGTAAAATGCCATTTGTAAGGTCCAACCGTGGCTTGAAATTTACTTTTTTGGACTGCCACTTGACGTCCAATGAAAGATCTGTATCCTGAAGCAAAACCAGTTGAAAACCATTGAGCTTACTTGTATATTTGTAAATTTTTACTTGTAAAGTTAACTTGTAAAATGTAAATCACTCGCATATGCGACTAAATCTTCACTCTGGGTGACTAAATGATGTCTAACATTAGCCATTGGCTAATAAATTCTTAGATTTTACTCGCCAGTGTGTGAGTTGGAGGCTAAGTATAAGTTTAGCACGGGTATATTTTCAGTCACCGAACACTCTGACTGAGCACACCAGAGTTTCACTCTCCATCAAGCAATCTGTGCTATTTTTCAATTCATCTCAATGGATGCGTAGCATACCTGTATTTGACGTACCGTAAACTCTAGTGTGAAGGCGCATGACTCGCCGTCGCTTTGCTGATAGCACTGTTTCTCACACATGTAAAGAGAGAGAGAGTCTTACATAGCATGCAGAATTGACACGCTACATGTAAACAGTATTCTTTGTTCTATTTTCCTGTCAAAATAGCAGAGTTCATTTGGAATTCTTCAGCTTTTAAGAACAACCATAAGATATGTTAGGGGGCGGAACTAATGTGCAAACGGCAATCTCATTGGCTGGCGCTCACCTATTATCGTCCCTGTTTTGATTTCAGCAAATCTGTTCGAGCGAACACATACAACGTCATCAATATTCATGAACCCAGCAGCTCATTAATCCTTAGTGCTTTTTATATTGTTATTAGTAGTGGAATTTTGTATTATTATTATTATTATCTTATCAGTATTATTGTTAGTGTATTTTTTTTTTTTTTTTACAGAAACACTGAATGACCAACAATATATTAAGCACCACCATCAGTCCTAAGTTCAGTTCAAACAAGAAAAATGCATTCATACATAGTTACCAAGTTTTAATTCTAATTACTAAAGTTCAATCATTAAATAATGCTTGATTATCATAATTATAATGCTTGACTGACTGATGTTAAGAGTGTACTTTCAGATATTTAAAAAGCTGTGCCATTTTACAAACATAAGCTTTTATATATACAATATTAAATAGTATATCAGTCTGCCGAGTAAACTAAACAATTTACTAGCCAATGGCGATTTTATTGCCAAGGTGTGTGTAGAGGGCTGTTAAAACTGAGCATTGAAATGTGTTCAAAATACAGTGAACTGCATACGTCCAATAAGACATAAAATTTGACTGAATTGGAATATTGACAGTTTTGTAAGTGCATAAATAACAACAGAAATGTGATTTACCAGACTAATGCATGGAATAAATAGGGGAATACATCTTTAGTATTGGCCATATTACCAAGTAAATTTGTTGTAAAATGTCATAAAGTGTGACTGGACACATGCTTTTGACGTCAACAGCACAACATATGGGAATAGTTTTTTATTATAAGTTAAAATTATTAATTTATTTTGAAATCTTAACTATGCACAATTACATAGTTTTTAATTCATTTGTTATTTTATATATTATTATTAATATTATTACTCTCATTCAGCATTAGGATTATCTGTTGATGTTTATCAGAACACTAGTTGAGAACCTCTGTAGCTTATGATGCTTTATAGGTTATAATGGCTTCATCTTAGAGAGAAAGATGGAAATATTGGTTTAGGGGGCTGACCAAAAGAGTTTTTTGGGGGGGTGGAGGATAAACTTATTTTGTAACCCCACTGTCTGAGATCTTCTGAGGTGTTGGTGGTCTGAACCCCACTCAGTGGAAAATTTTAAGTGTTTCGGTGTTTGTGGTGTTCGATGACATCCGGGGAAACTTCTACAGAAGAGAAATGTTCCACCACACACACACTCTCTCGCACACACACACATCACAGTTTAGCAAGTTATACAAAGAGATTGTCTTTTCTGCATAGATACGCAGGACAAATAAGGCTGTGCTGATGTAAGTATCTGATGTGAATGTTATATTTAGGACTGATTTGTGTTTTTGAGATCTTATGATTGAAAATCTTTTTTATGTCATATCTTTTCATACTTCATCACGATAGTGTTGAAGAGATCCTAAACGGTGATGCTTTTGTCTCGAAAGACTTGCTTTGTAAAGGTACACTGATGTAAATTTAGTCAAACGGATGTCAAAAGTTTAAGTGTGCTCAAACGCATTTTGATTTGTGTTTTTGAGATCTTATGATTGAAAATCTTTTTTATGTCATATCTTTTCATACTTCATCATCACGATAGTGTTGAAGAGATCCTAAACGGTGATGCTTTTGTCTCGAAAGACTTGCTTTGTAAAGGTACACTGATGTAAATTTAGTCAAACGGATGTCAAAAGTTTAAGTGTGCTCAAACGCATTTGTTATTGATGGCACCTTTTGTCTGACAGCACCTTTCCGTGTATATTGTGTCGTAGATTAATGGTTGTAATTAGTTGGGTGGGGGATTTGAATAAGCAACTGTGACCGTCCAGAAAGGTCGCATGTTTGTTCCTACAGGTCACGAGCTCTGACCCCATGTTGTTTACACAGCTGCATTTTAGTGTTATGGGAGCTTGTTTCGTATAGCATGAACATGTGTAAAGAAACTTGTGTGTGTCCATTTTTAGAAACCCCTAAAAAATGTAAAAATAAACTACGCCTGCAACTGTGAATGATAAATGATGCAAATGCCATTTCAAAGTGGAAGAGAAAGCTTGGTGAATTGTAAAGAAAAAGATACATTTTTGTCTTATTCCTTTGTAAAAACTCATTTATTCACCCTCATGTCATTCCAACCCTGTATGACTTTGTTCTTCTGTGAAACACGGAAGAAGATATTTTGTAGGGCTGTGCGATATTGAAGAAAAATGCGATATGCGATAACTCATTAAATAATGCGATAGTCGATATGCGATACGATAATGCTTAAAGTGGCACATGCTCAGATGAAACAGATTTACTCAACTGTTGCTGAGTCAGTTCTGTGAACTTCTATAACTATCTTGTGTCATATATATATATATATGTATGGTTATTTGTATTTATGTATCAAGAGCTCCTGTAAAACCACAACAGATTCCTTGTGTTTGCGCACACTTAAGTGGTGAATAAAGCTCATTCTGATTCTAATACAACTAGCATACATGTTTTACTTTTTGTGAGAAGAAAGCACCCCTACAACAACTTCTGAAAGTGTGTTTTACTCTAGCATTACATAAAAATGTCATTTTAACATTAGTTTAGGAACTGAATAATAAAAAAGGAAAATTACAACACTTAAGTATTTACTCTATGAATTCAATATGCACTGATTCTTATTTAAGCTATAAAAGTTATTTAGAATAGTGAGTTATTTTCTCTTTGTGTTTTGTTCATGGCCCCATATATTGCAAGCTGTAGCGATATGCATATTGCGATATGTATATTTGCGATATTTCGATATATATTGCACAGCCCTAATATTTTGAAAAAGGTCTTAATGTTTAGTTTTCTGTCCTTACAATGGACGTCAGTGGGGTCCACTGGGGATTTTGTTTGGACCCCATTGATTTTCATTGTAAATACAAAACAAACACCCCAAAAACAGTAACTTTTTTAAGCATCTCGTTTTTTGTTCCAGGTTTAAACAAGAGTGAGTACCCTTTAAGTATTTAGTACAACTAGTGAATGGTAGTCTAGTCGCCCTCTTCTCTGACCTTAGCACCAGTAAACGTGCTGCGAATGTGTTAAGCCAGTGTTCTTGGAAGGAGACTTTGTATACGACATCACATAAGCTCATATCCTGTTCGCGGTGAGATGACCTGTGGACAGATATGGTAGGTTTCTCCCAGGTTGTGCTTACAACACATATGAATGCAGTGTGATTGAATAGGGTCTATCGAATAACAAGAAACAAAGACTCTAGATTGGGTTGTGTCGAGACTGAGACCCTACAGTGAGTCCCAAGCATTAGAGTTTTTAGATCCTGTAGGAGACACACTGTCAGGTCTTTGATTCTGCACCAACCAATCTAGAGTCTTTGGCTGTAGATATCCTGCTTTAAGAGTCCAGAGTGGGTTGTCTAAAGCTAAACCATTTTAGAATGGGTGCTATAAAGTCTGAGATTTTACAATGGGCAGTCCGATATAATACTGTGAGTTTCTCTAGACTCTAGAGTGAAATGCATAAAGCTGAAGTGTCTTGATTGTCTTATCCAAAGTTAAATGAACACTCCACTATTTTTGAAAATAGGCTAATTTTCCAACTCCCCTAGAGTTAAACAGTTGAGTTTTACCATTTCGAATCCATTCAGCCGATCTCCGGGTCTGGCGGTAGCAAGTTTAGCTGTAGGTTAGCATAGATCAATGAATCTGATTAGACCGTTAGCATCTCGCTCAAAAATGACCAAAGAGTTTCGATATTTTTCCTAATTAAAACTTGACTCTTCTGTAGTTACATCGTGTACTAAAACAGACGGAAAATCAAGGAACTTTGCTGCCGTACCATGGGTGCAGCAGGCGCAATGATATTACGCAGCGCCTGAAAATAGTCCCCAGCTAGGTAACTTCCAACGGAAGGCACTCTTCAGTAGCCCTGTGCAAGCAGGTGGTCACGTTGGTTATGTTGGCAGAAGTTAGCCTATTTTCAAGCGCTGTGTAATATCATTGCGTCTGCTGCAACCATGGTACGGCAGCAAAGTTCCTTGATTATTACGCCGGAATGAGAGTATAGTTCCTAGCCACATCGGCCTAGAAAATCACAACTTTTCATTTTCCGTCGGTCTTAGTACACGATGTAACTACAGAAGAGTCAAGTTTTAAATAGGAATAATATCGAAACTCTTTGGTCATTTTTGAGCGAGATGCTAACGGTCTAATCAGATTCATTGATCTATGCTAAGCTGCAGCTAAAAGTGCTACCGCCAGACCCGGAGATCGGCTGAATGGTTTCGAAAATGGTAAAACTCAACTGTTTAACTCTAGGGGAGTTGGAAAATGAGCCTATTTTCAAAAATAGTGGAGTGTTCCTTTAAATTTGTACACAGTTTTTTAGTTTTAGGCTTTCTTTTTGTCTTTTGACCATAATATCCTTTAGATTTAGTCAGAATTTTGGCATGTCATATTCATTCATTTTAGTCAATTTTTAGTGATTAGCCAAAATTATTATTATTTTTACCAAAACACAGAAAACTAAATTTATGTTTTAATTTCAGCTGAAAACCAAAACTAGAAGTCAAATTTGGGTTACTAGGTAACTGAACTCTTTATGCTCTTCATCCATTTTTGGTCATAGATGCTGACACAGTTGAAGCACGTCATTTGACTGAAATCTGGAAACTGAAACTGGAAAAAAAAGAAAAATGATATATATATATATATATATATATATATATATATATATAGTATATCAAAGAGTGTATGTGTAGTTAAAGTTTTAAATCCTTGCGCCAAGATGCTCTGTCGGTCACGGATTATGGAAAGTGAAACTTAAATCTAAAGGGGTGGTTGGATTTATTCACGCACGCTAAAATATTTATTTAAAGCTTCTTTCTTTTCAGATTCTTATTTACAGCATTATCTTAATAGACAGTATATTAACTCTGGGAGAAAACCGGTAGTTCTATGTGAAATCAGACATTTGAGCACCCCCATATAGCCAAAATGGCATGATCATAACGCCTCAGCGAATATTCAACTGTGAGATTGGTAGTCGAATCAGGTTCCTCCTATCAAAGCATCGAATCTTCGACTGTTCGGGGTCACCCCTATAGATTTGTGATGAATGACATTTTTGAGAACTTCAAGAGTTCCACATAAAATCTCCTTGAGGTACATTGTTTCTCCCTCAAAAGGGTAGTTTAAAACACAGTAAGCAATGAAAAAAAAAATATATATATTTCATTTACATGCTATTCCAAAATTGTATGGTTTT